TTCAAACTTACATTTCCAATTTCCGTCAGCACAATTACCACCACATATTGACACCCATATCCTAAACCTCACCACCACCACCACCATCAAACTTATACATCTGTCAGTTTTTGCATAGAATTAGAGCGTTTCCTTATAGGAATATCAAATTTGGGGTTTCATGGAGATTACAGAAATTGGGTTTACGCTATCGATTTGGGTATGTGGGGATTTGGATTTTTTTGGGAGGAAAATGAGTGGAAGATAGTATTTTTGGAGAAATACTGTAATTCTTAAAATTGACTAGGTAATAATTAATTTCTGTGTATGTGTGGCCCTAAACCTTCAAAATGAATTTTAGATAATCAAAACCTAAGCTAAACCCTAACTTTAAAACGATTCGCTTCGATTTGAAACCGAATGTTGATGGATCCACAATTTTACATGGATGGTTTCGGTGCGAATTGATTGGTTGACGGTTTGCTTAAATCCCTATTGGAGGTGCTGCAAGGGCCTTGTTATTTCCTTTCTCACAGCCATTCATTTTGATATTTTTAATTCTACTATGTTCTCTAATTTTTTCCTTTTAATTTTTAGCTTTTTACTCACATCTTTATACAATTTGGATGGTTTTGGTAAGAAGTACTGAAGTTAAGAAATGGACTTCTGAAATCTTTTTATGAGTTTTTATTTGTGTACTAAGATAGGGAACGACAAAAGATACATACATACATAAATAGGATTCATTTCAACTAGACTTGATTGATGACCCTCTAGTAGTTTATCTGCAAGCAAATCAACCTATCCTTTAAATAGGACTTATGCAATGGTTGCAATACGATGCATTTGGCCGTGATTTCTAGTCTGGCAGACACATATTTATGTACACCAATTATTATTGCAAGTCATAAACTTGGTGATCGGTTTCTTTTCTCATCCCTTCAACTCCACTTTTAGTTGACATGATTAGTCGGGGGAAAATATTCAAATACAAAGTTAATATAATCATGTCTACTTAATGACAAAGCAAGAAGTAAGAACAATTTTATAGGTACATAATTTATTTTATTTTATTTTTTATTTTTATTTTTTACAAAAATCAAACAAATGAATACTTGATATATTATCATTGGAAAATGATAAAAATACAAAAGAAAAGCAGACATATAGGTGGTGCCGACGTAGTACTTGTAAGATTCCATTTTTTCCCCTGTACTTGTAGAAAAATTCAAGAAGTAATAAGTCCCTATCATGAACCTTTTTTTTTTTTTTTTTTCCAATTTGGTTTGATTTTAAAAGGCATTCTTTCAATCACATAGGACGCGTAACAAGGCAAGTTTTATCCGACATGGTTGCACACTCTTTTTATTTCACACATATATCATTTAAACAAAAGAAAGTACACCAATGATAACAATTTCACACGAATTATTGAATGATACTGTAATATATTTCATGATCCTCTAGGAGAAATTGTATAAAAATCTTGGGAGTGAGGTCATTTCTCGTTGTAAAAATATATCATGTTTTTTTCAGTGGCTAATATTTGGTTGGTCGAGAAAACATTGGTCAGCAAAGACGATTTCTTTGACTTGTTCTATTTGGTTGGGAAAAAAATCGTACCGAATCCGAAATTTTTGGGTATTTAATAAGTGGAACCGTCAGGTCCAATTTTAATTATGGAACCATTTGAATTCGGTTCTATTCGGTTCCCAAATTCCATATTATAATTAATTTTTTTAATATTTACGAAATTAAATTAATTCAACTAATGATATGTTCAACTTTAGCTCTTACAAAATAAAGTAGTTTAATCTTATGTGTCTTTTGTATCTCTCTTTACTGAGTTTTTCATAAATTTGATTGTTAAAATCACAGGAAGAGAAAAATGGCGAGCTCAAAATAATTAAGAAAGGCGTTGTCGAGCTTCAATTAGACTTCTCCAAAATTGTAGAAACGGCACTACGGTAAAGTAACAGATTTGGATAAAACTTAGGTCAATTAGAGTAAAAGGTTCGATTTGAAAGTTTTGTCTAATCCTAATTTTTATTAGTGCGTTTTCGCCGACTAATTTTTGGTTGATCGAGAAAGCTATAGTTTCTTATAGTGGTTGGTGGTTTCAAAACGGTTGAATCAGGTTTTAGAATCTTGCTATAAAGAAGTTTTTTCGAATTTGGTTATAAACCTTTTACTTCTATTTCAATTTAAGTTCTTCATCTGCAAAAAAATAAAAAATAAAAATAAAAATCGCATAGCCACCATATAATCTATAGCTAACTTTTCGCACATACTCTATGTAAAATGTCTCAAAGGCTGAAAAGGTGAGTTTTATTGACAAGAATCACAATAATTTTTAAGTTCGGTGAATAAATTATAATAAGAAACATTTTAATAACTGAACAAACTTGTCAAGGCTTGCTCGAGGCTTAATTCGTCTAGATATGCTGGGGATGGCTTATTTAAGGAAGTGAACTATCCAATTTGAAGTTTTGGGTAATGGTGTCTATTGAGATCTTACTTGTTATTTGGACTGCTTTTTTAGTATTGTAACTACGGTTTTCCTCTGTCATAAGCAAGGATTTTGATAAAGCTTGGACAAAAAAATAAAATAAATAATAATAAAAATTTAAGACCTAAAAAAAAAAAAAAAAAAGAAGAAGAAGAAGAAGAAGAAGAAGAAACATTTAGACGAACAAAGTGAAATGATGCCATGTCTTATAGATTTGCTAAACCATCTAAACATGTAGACAGAAATTTTGATACTCTTCTTAATTGTAACAATTAAAATTTTAAATTTATTGCAATTTTTTTTTTTACTACAAAAAAAATCCTCGGCCTAGCTCATTTTTTTTTTTTTTTTTTTTTTTTTTTTTGTGTATTTTAATTAGGTCTGGGCGCGGGTTGGTTCGATTCGATTTTAAAGAGAACCAAATCGAACCGAACCAAAAATTTCGGGTATTTAGTAAATAGAACCGTTGAGTCCAAATAAAATTATAGAACCGTTCGAGTTCGGTTCGGTTCTGTACTATAATTAAATTTTTTAACATTTATAACAACACTACATAAATACAACTAATAACAAATTCAATCGTAATTTTATAAATTAACGTAATCCAATTTAACATGTATATAACAAGTTGTCCAACAAGATTAATTTACCAATCACATATAGGGAAACTTACACACTAACTTATTCAAATGATCAACGGTCGAGGGTCGCCATCGGACCCCGGAGTTCATAGCTTCGGACTCGGAGGCAAATGTTTTATACATCTTTTTGAGTTTTGGAATGTCAGATGTGTTATGTGTAGGTGATAATGTGTGTAATTTATTTAGGATTAGTCATTAGTGGGTTGGATCACTTGGATGTTGGGCTAAAAAATGGAAGAATAAAAACAAAAAATGGCACTTGGGTTAAAAATTTGAAAATTAGAAATGAAACAAATAATTGGGCTAAAAAATTGGACTTAGAAATTGGTTGGATTATGTCAAGCTAGTTAGGCTAGGGCTTAGGAGATAAAGTATCAATTAATCACCTAATTTGTTAATTTGTTTAGAAAAAATTAAAATAATTTGATTTATTCAATATAAAAAAAAATTAGGAATATTCGGTTCTTGGTCTAGAACCGAGAATCGAACCATACCCGTCGATTCTTAATTCAAATACCCGTTCGGGTATTTAACTTGAGAAAGAACCGTCGGATTCAGTTCGATTCCAGAGATTTGCCCAGCTCTAATTTTAATTTTAATTTCGTCGACCCTACTTGACAATTCATTTTTTATCTTTTAGTTCTAAAAAATATTAAGTGTGTGCGCATTTTGAAGCTACCTTCAAAATCATTTGTACTCTTGCCAAAAAAGAATAGTGCTAAAATGGTAAATGATCCAATTTACTGCTATTTCTGTCGATTTCCAAGCAATTAAAGTTTCTGACCTAATACAATGAGTTGGGCTTCAATTAATTAACAGCACTTTTTGTAATTTTTAAGCTGCTTTTCAGTTTGAGTTTTTAACCGTTAAAAATCAATGTGTTACGCGTACAGAAGCTGCTTCACAGAACTTTTCTAGATGACATGTCAAGCTTGTTTTAAACCAATAAAATAAGAATAAATTACTAAAATACTGAATGATTATCTGAAAACCCACGTGAATGTTGACTAAAAACAAGACAAACCCTACACTATTCCCACTTTTTCCAATCCATTCCTCCTCTCATCTAACCCTATCCATCTGAAACCTTTAATTAGTGTAGATGTCGCCGGTGTTGTCCTCCCAAACTTCAGCTACCGTGAATCCGTCAAACAACAAATAACCTAACATCTTCACCTTTGTCACATAATCGAGTGCACAAATCGCAACAAAGTTGTCGATTTCAAGATGGTGTCGTCGTCTTCTCCGACGGTCGTTGATGGCTTTACACTAGAACCGACTGTGTAGTGTTTCGAATTCCTTCCTTTAATTGGAAAACCTATACGATATGCATATCCTTTGTATAAACCCCACAATTCTTTTTCATTGTTGAATATCATACCCACCACCGGTACCTCAGGCACTATCGAACCATCTTTTCCTACCCTTTCCTTCTCCACTAATATCACATTGCCCGCAACATTCTCGTCAACGCCTCTCTCTACCAAAAATTCATCGCGTACTTCTTCCATTGAACCTTCTACTGCAACACAATAAGTGGCAAAGGTTGAGCAAAACATAAATGAATTTCGGTCAAATAAGCAATTGAAAATGTAATATAAAGGTCATCTCTTTGGTTGGACCTAAGAGCATCTTATTTCGGTTGCACAAAAAATAATACATTCATCAGACCGTAATGTCCAAATGAATTTGCTCCTTAATCATAAACCATACCAAATGCATTAATCCCCCATTTTGACAATGTAATACAAAATTGAACTGGATTGGAAAAAAAATGCTCAAGTTTGTCGAAAAGGAAAAAATTGTAGTAGAAAAGGGAAAAAATGCTTCAAGGCCCCAATATTTTCTTCTTTTGCTATTTCGAATGTCTAAATTGCAGTATAAACTATGTCCGAAATCCAATTCAAGCATATTATGAAATAAGATTTGAACCGACAAAAAAGTCTGCTGCTCACTTGGGGGGTTTTTCGAAGTTGGTGAAGACAGGTTTTCACTGTCACAGGAATCGGACATCAGCATCTTCGCAGTCCAGTTCTATGGGGGAGCAGCTGCCGTCAATGTGTACAAATAGGTGAGACGAGAAAATCTGGGAAGAGACGAGAAAACTTACCGGAATAGGCGGGAGAAATCTGGCGGTTGGAGGGGTCTGACTTCCTTGACCTTTTGTTTCTACTTTTGGGCATTGACCAGATTTCAATTGTTTTGAACAATATTTCTTTTGTGCCACATCATGGAAATTTCAAATTTTTGTATATTTTTTGTGAGACAGCTTCTGTACAAGAAGCATTATTCGTTAAAAATATTGCTTTTAAGCACAATCAAACATATTCGTTCAATTTGCTATCCTTGCTTCCAAATTATTTTATGGACCGATACGAGGGATTATAGAGAATTATAGACTAGTAGTTGATTCACAACCAATATAATATCCACCATCTATGTCAAAATCTTAAACAATAGTTTAAGAATATAAACAGTGTTAATCTTAATTTTAAAATTTCAATTTCAGAAGACACTCAACCTCAATTGATTTGTGTTTTAGTTTTCAATTTTGAATTTTTGTTTGAGGCCTATTTTAAGATTGTAGAAGATGCATTTGGTTGTCGTCCTAAGAATCGTTTTTGAAAAACACGTTTGGTTAAAATTTCTAACAATTATTTTATTCAATGTTTTGCAATAAAAGAGTTACCCATTTCTTTTTCCTTTTTCCCATTTTTATGATCTTATTTTCAACCCATTTGGTATAGATTAAAATTTAATTTTAATTTAAGTCAAAGTCAAATAATCATTTTTAACTATATCTTTTTTGGGTCTCACAATTTTTCAACCACGCCTTTCAAAAATTTCTATCACGGTTTACTAAAAAAATTTAATTTTAATCCCTACCAAACACCCTCTTAGTATATCAAATTCTCTGTGATCTAGTAATCTCTTGTTCCATTTCACCAGCATCAACCTATCAAAAGGAATTTCCAATAAGAAAAAAAACAAAGGAAAATGAAAAAAAAAAAAATCCAACTTCGGAAAATCATATATTTTGACAGTCTGCCAGATAAATAAATTTTAAAAAATAAACAAAAATCAGAACTCTAATTCTTCGGGGGACAAAAAGAAGAAACTTATGTGCTTAAACATATAATTGTCGCTAAGAGTACTGTTATTCATAGTTGCGACAGTCGTTTCACGTGGCATCCTACATGACGATTTGTGATTTGATATATTAATGTGATAGTTTTTGTTACCTCATATATTAAATCACTTATTGTCAATCTGTCATATGTATATCATATAGAACGATTGCGACAGTGAATGACTGCAAATAATATTATTCTTGCTGCTAATCAATACCAACTACAAGAAAAAGTAGTAATGGTACCGAAAAGAAGTTGGAACGTTGGGGGGCATAAAACGGTGACATGTGAATTGTCACAGGAGAGCACTGAGAGAGCTGGACGGGAAAGGGGATTGTCGAAGAGTTTAGAGTACATTTGCAAGGTAAATGATTTTTTCGTGTCAAAATGTCAAACATATGTTTTGACTTTTATGTCATAAATTTATTCTTGTTTTCAAAAATACATTTTGAAAAATATCAAATCAAAAAAATTGGAGTGTTTTATAAAATTAAAAACTGAAATCAACTTGAAAATCACAAATCAAACGAATTTGAGTTTCTAATATTTAAGTTCACCAATAATGTGTAAAATCTTATTCAATACTCTAGGATTGTATACATTATTAAATTGTATCGATTTTGTTTTATTTTTTTAAATTTCAATTTCACGGTTCAATGAGATTTCAATATTATTTTACACTTATCATATTTTTCTCTCGAGATCATTTGGAACTTCTTTCAAATGTTGGAGATAAAAGAATGATAACTTGTTGGTGTATCTAGGCCGTCTTCGGTGCTGAGGCATCTTTCAACAATGATGATCTTGTGACAAACATTTTCAAGCTAAGAATATGTGATTTTGGATGGATTGACGTAGCGATTGCACGTTTTGGGTTGCGACGTTAGATTTCGGGTTTTTGGTTTGAATTGAAAGATGTTAGAGATAATTTCAGTCCGAAAATTACCAAGATTTGTGGATAATTACAAACTTGAATAATCATCCCTGAAATCGGGTTTTTGCCGTTATCTCCTATATTGGTTTAGAAGGGATGAAACCAGATATTTAGCTCCTGTTTGATTTGAATAATAATTAGATTTTTAATAGATTTTAAGAAAGATTGATAAAATATATGATTGAATTTTGATAAAAGTTATGAATATTATGAAATCTGTAATTGAAAATAAAGTTTTTTTGTAAAAAAAATAAATGAAGACCAATCATGAGCTTAAAATTACTCTAAATTTATTATCAAATAAAATACAATGTGTTGGCTTTCATCGGGGATTTTGATTTGACAATCACTGTACGATATTCTATTATTGGAAATAACTAACTAATTATAAACGTAATAGGGAATAAAATAATCAACTTCTTCAGTTTTCCTGTTAATAAATAATTAAACTTGCTGTCCACGTTTTATAATTATTTTATGGATGGATTATGACTTACTTATGGAGAGTAAGAGACTTATGTGATAGTTGTTGAGGTGACGTTATCATTAACTACCATCCACTACTATAAATGTACTTAGGAATGTATAAAATATTAAATTATTAAAGTTGAATTTCACAAGATATTGAAATTGAATTTTGCAAATAATCATATTGTTTCAATATTATTGTAGATTTGGAACATTTTAAAGCTCTATGTCTAAGATTTCTTTCAGTATATTTATTTCGAAACCCACTATCATTAGATTAAAAAATTGAAAAATATTCGATGATTACATGAATTTGTGGATGAGAAAATTTTGACCCCGAATTAGGTTTAACACACTTGTTGTGCATAAAAAGTTATCGTAATTAGAAAATTAACATCAAGAGTTAGTATTGAACTTGAAGTTGGTCTTTTCTAAGTGTACTCAAATGATGGAAGTACATGTTACCGATACTTCTTGTTAAGAGAATATAATCCCACATCGGTAAAATACCGAAATATGACCAATATATACAGGATTGGGACACTTTTCTTAATAAGGTTGACTTTATTAAGATGGACCCCAAATCTTAACATGGTATCAGAGCCCATTAAGTTCCAACGAGTGATTGGATCCGATTAAGTCTCAAAAAATGAGCACACGAATTTCAAGATTGGTATGCTCAAAAGAGCCACCATCTTGTGGGGGCATGTTAAGGGAATATAATCCCACATCGGTAAAATACCGAAATAATGATCAATATATAAAGGATTGTGACACTCCTCTTCATAAGGTTGACCTTATTAAGATGAATCCCAAATCTTAACACTTGTAAAAGTTAGCGAGATATTCTAGAATTGGAGGATATTATTATTATTATTATTATTATTATTATTATTATTATTATTATTATTATTATTATTATTATTATTATTATTATTATTTTGCTTTGCTCTAATATTTTTAGTGGATAGGTGAAGGTATTTTGGAGGCGTGGAAGTAATTTTAGATTATTAGTTAAATATATTCACACCACATTTTTTTATAAGTGCATGATCTTTTTAATTGCACGAATTGTCCACAATCTTAAGTCGATGACATGCCTATGTTTTCAACCTTTTCCATTATATTTTTTCATTGATAACCTTCTATTAATTAGGATATCTTGTTCACGATGACAATTTCCTTTCGAAAATTCAGTTCAGATAGAACACTTATTTGCCTCGTATTTTTTGATAAGCAAAAAAGATAAGATTACGATCAAATGTTTGTCCCTCATTTTAAAGGACAAATCTTAATTTTTGGATGAAAATTGTCATTAGGAACAACGCAAAACATTAAGGATAAAAATGCTATTAAAAAGAAACTGGGGACATAAATTTGACAATTAATACAAATTATGTTCTTTACTGCAATTAAACTATAATAATTTTATTAAAAATGTGGTGTCAATATAAGTCGCTTAGTTATTTTGGGTAGAAGATTAGAGGAGTAATGTCCTCAATTAACTATAACCTAATTGGCATATTTTTGGTATCATTAATACTTAATTATTTTGTGTGATATTATGTTGTATAATGTAGAAAGATATCTTAGATAATAAATATTTTTATAAAACTAAATAAACAAAAAAGAACTATAAGAAAAGAAATAGAAAGAGCCAAAACTCAAATGCATAATTTTATTATAAGAAATGACTCATTTATAGGGTTTAAAAGAAGAGTTACCATCTAAATAAAATGGACTCTTTTAGAGTAGATAAAACTTATATAAGTATCTTGATAGGACTAAATATACATCAATAATTATCCTATAATTTTACAACACTACCCCTTTTTATGACTATTTGTAATATCTGCCTCGTTAAAAATCTAGTTTTATGAAAATCCAATAAGAGAAAATATCATAATAGGGAAAAAAATAGTACAAATAATAATAAAAAAATTAATAATAAAATGTTGTCTCATTAAAACTTTGTCAAAAGAATTCAATGGGACAAAAATTGAACAAATTAATAATAGTACAAATATTCTCCCTGATTTTAGTACTTGAAAATCCTTGAATTTATCCATGCCTTACACATCAATATTTTCAATATCACCATTTTTATGAAGTATGTTTCAGTTGTTTTCTAAAGTCTTCAAGCAGTACCGTCTGCATGAAACATATTCTATCCTATTTGACTATAGTCATTGTGATGGTCCATTAAAAATAGATTTTGTTGTTATTATTTTTGAGGTAACTGTCTTGTATGTTATAGATATTAATCATACAAAGAATATAGTTCATTGAAACTTTATTAGGAAAAAGGCTAATACAATAGTTTTCTAAAAATCCTGACACAAAAATTCAAATGAACAAAGCATTGATTAAAAAAAAAAGAAAAGAAGAAGTACAATACGTATTTACTCTCCTCACAATAATATCTTGAATTATATACTTCAAACATAAGATCTTTAGTATTAAAGTCATTTCAAATGAATTACCTATAATCACATTTATTATATATTTATCATTATCAATTAACAAGACAGAGATTTGTGATTTATCTATCACATGATAATTTATCTATTAAATACATCTTTACAAAATTCATTATGTTGAAAATTGTGCATTACATGTTATGACTTCATTTTTTCATTTACTTTTTACA